TATGCAGAAATCGCGCTCCATCTCGTCCGTTGAAGTAGACGTTGATCCGACGGTCCAAACTCCAAGCGATCTGAAGATATTACTGAGACCCGTTCAGCACTTTCGGTGCCCGGGTTGACACGTTTCCTGCAACAATTCTCGGTCGTCGATGTCGGCTGTCGAACGATCGGACGCTCCGAAGAACTTCGCGGCTTGCGAGGTCCCGTTCCCATTCGCGCTGTAACTCGAACTCTCTCAGAAGGTTTCGTTGTCGCCTCGGTCGATCTGAAGCGTTGAATCTCCATCGGACGGATGTCGTCGGTCGCAACTCCGAGAGTCGTGGCGAACTGCGAACTCCTCGGAATGTCGCAGGGAGTGTTCCGCCAGAAGTGACGCGTTCGCGAGGTCGAGGCCGTTTGCCCCCGCGAAAAACCGGCACCGTCGATGCAGTCCATCGAACGGTTGGCGAGGCATCTCGCCAACGAAGGGGACCCCAGGTGCAAATGTGAGAGGAGAGTCGAAACTTAAATGAAAGTGCATTGTACTTACAGGAATTGAAGTTTCGACTCCATCCTCCGCGTGCTCCTGGGGGCCCAGCGGTTAAGCGTTGAGCTGAAACCTTGGCTCTGATACCAAGTGTCCCAGGATCGAATGTCTCGAGGAAAGGTTGCTCAATGTTGCACTATCATTCAGTACAAGGTGCTTTTATACTTCCAGAGTACATCAGGTAACCAGGTTTATCATATCCAAAGGGAATAGACCCTTCTAGAAATAGAATCACCCTGCGTATAGCCACGCGAGGCTATTGGCTTTAAGGGATTACGGCAGGATTACGCTAGATATAGCGCGCCAGTACATCCCAAGCCTGGTCGGTGATATAATTATAATAACAGGATAAACCAAAGGATAATGGAAAAGGAGGAATAGGAAACCAAATGAGATGGGGTAAAGACCAAATGCATTAGGAGAAAAAGAGGAATGAAATAGAAAGGAAACATGGAAACGGGAAATTAGTGTAACAGGGTCGTACTCTCACTGTCGCCTAGAGCAACCCGCTACTGAGTGGACTATTTACCCATGGGTATTCGACGGACGCCTTCTTCGTAAATGACGGCAATCTCCAAATCACTACACGGAAAGGTGTCTATTACTTACGAAGCGTGACATATCGAATTTAGGTCCCAAGTTATCGTCTACTTCGCGAATTACTAATTCAAGAAGTCCACGATTCAAATTTATCAGGACATTTCGGAGTTGATAAAACTCTGAAGGCGTTGCAGTGGTTTTATTACTGGCCAGATATGGTGACGGACGTGCAGCGTTATGTGGCCGCATGTCCGATCTGCCAGCGAATGAAATCATCACATCAGCGACCGACATGATTGTTGCAGCCCCTTGAGCCACCTCAACGTCCATGGCAACACGTGACAATGGATTTCGTTACAGGTCTACCGGCCGGATCCAGCGAAACGACGCAGTATTTGCTGTCGTCGATTGATTGACGAAAATGGCGCATTTCGCACCATGTCGTACAACCATCACAGCCGAAGAAACCGTGCGACTATTCATCTCGGCCGTTGTTCGCCTATATGGGATAACAGCTGCAATCATTAGCGATCGAGACCCGAACTTCACATCAAAATTTTGGCAAGACACGTGGGCTCGATACGGCACGCGCCTGCAGTTCTCATCCGCTTATCACCCCCAAACGGACGGTCAGACTGAAAGGACAAACAAAACTATGGAGCAGCTGATTCGGACAAACTGCCCTGACCGAAACAAATGGGAGGACGCGCTTCCGATGTTGGAATTTTCCTACAACAACGTGCCCTCATCTACGACTAATCACTCCCCGTTTTATCTCAATTACGGGATGGACCCCACTGTACCGGTCTCCACCAACGTTGAGAGTCAAGTACCACGATCGCAGCAGTTCGTCGAGGAATTACAGATTGTCCGAGACAAACCTGTCGAACTTATTCGCAAGGCGAATGCTACTGCCCGACGGTATGCATATTTACATCGACGAGATATTACAATGATAGCCGGGCAACTAGTCCTTTTGGACAACAAGAATTTACGACTGCCACTACCGACGAAATTACGACCACGTTTCTGTGGTCCATTCAAGATCATGAAGAAGGTGACGCCCGTGACCGCCCAATTACGCCTACCCGACTGCTGGCGTATTCACAACAAGTTCCATGTGAGCCTGTTGCGATCTTTTGTTGTGTGATGTCATCATATGCTATCACATTCTGTCTGCCTCTCATCCCATGTTTTCAACTTGCATGTGTGGTTTGAACGTGTGCAAGAATTTGTGTGTGGTCTGTTATGGAGTTTGGGAATGTGTTTTGTGTTATTTTGTTTGAGCAGGATTTTTTAATGATAGATCTTGAGAAGATCTTTCCGACGCAATGAGAATCCTTTCAATCGGAGCAAGAACGCGAAAGCTATGAAGATTCAAAGTTCATGAGCTTGCGTTACAATTGCGGACGTTACAAAGTGATGTTGTGGGGTGACTCACTATGGAATTGGGCAATTAGGGGTTGGGGAAATTCGTCACTCTACTATAGCAACTGCAAATTGGTTGAACAATCAAACTAGGTTGGCAAGGGTGGCCAACTTGGATGGATTGGTTGGGAAGGGACAAAGGTCAAAGTTGAGGTTTCTATAGGAAGGGAACTTTGTGCTTATGGGGTTTCCTTGGTTGGGGACTCTCTTGGGACCTTCCCTCTCATCCCTCTCTTTCTATCCCAACCTTTCTCTTGCTCCTCTAATTCCATGTGAGATTCTTGAACCTTGATTGAAGTTTGAGATTGAGTTAAGTTCTTCTCCTACAGCATACCCCCCAATGCGTCAAAAACCATTGCGTCGCAAATACTTCATTAATCAGTGTGATTCAACTTGGGAATGGTAGCTGAGATTAAGAGCTACAAAATATCCGAGTTTCGTAACATTCCGACAGCTCTTTTTTTTGTCGACGACGTTTCTTGTGGAGACGACTTTTCTGTCCATAATTTCGGATTTATATTTTGAGTTACTCTAGCTCCTAAGTTCACCTAGACTCCGTCCTTAATCCTAACATCTTTCGTACCCGACACATCGGACATCGCTCGGCAGCGATTAGTCCCAGATGTACGGCCACCAGCAGAGACGTGTTAAAATTATATATTGAGTTATATAATTGTTAGGCTTGGTAGGTTATCGAAATTTACTGTAGAGGGTACAATCCCCTCCTTGTATGCCTCTCTCTTTCTATTCCAACCCCTTTTCTCTCCTCAACTTTTCTCCTTCCTAAACCTCACGCCACTCCATGGCTCCTCCTAGCTAAACCTCACGCCTTTCCTAGCTTCCTAGCTAAGCTAGCCTTTTAACATGGTACTAGAGCAGGAGTTCCTCCCTGCTGGACCGCCTCCTCACGCTTCATCCGCGTACTCCTTGCCCTCGTTCGCTCACGCGGCCATGGCGGCCACGTTGTGCTGCAGTGGCGGCGTCGTGATGCCGCTGGCCGCGTCGTGCCGCTGCCGTGGCGTCAGGCCGCCGTGCTGCCGTCGTAGCGCCGACGTCCCGCAGCAGCGTCGATGCCGCTCTGTGACGGCGGCGTCGGTCTGCAACCGGCCGCGCGACGCCTGTGGCGCCGCTAAACTGCCCACCCGCACGCCAGCCGGCCGCGCGACGCTTGTGGCGCCACGCTGAAGATCCGAAGCCCCGCCCCTTCCCCCTTTCCTCTGTTCCCTCCTCTTCGCCACAGCCACCGCCTGACTCTCGGTCGTCCCCCTGTCGCGGAGTTTGGACACGCCACCGGAAGGGCGGGGGCCCCTACACTCACCGTCGTCGTAAGCCGAAGCCGTCGCCGTCGCCGCTGTCGTCGCCGCAGGCCTTTTGCCGCCGCACGCCCGTCATCGCCGTCGCTGTCGCCGCGGCCGGGACTGCCGCCATCGCCATCTCCAAGGCCTTGTGGGCCCTGTTGGAGTCGTTGTGGCTGATGGGAATGGGGGTGCTAGGTTAGGGGGTGTAGGGGTGTGTGTGGACTTGTGACTACCAAGCCTAGGGGGTGTGTTAAAATTATAGATTGAGTTATATAATTGTTAGGCTTGGTAGGTTACCGAACTTTACTGTAGAGGGTACAATCCCCTCCTTGTATGCCTCTCTCTTTCTATTCCAACCCCTTTTCTCTCCTCAACTTTTCTCCTTCCTAAACCGCACGCCACTCCATGGCTCCTCCTAGCTAAACCTCACGCCTTTCCTAGCTTCCTAGCTAAGCTAGCCTTTTAATAAGACGACCATCGAGCCCTCGAAGATTTTGAGCCATCGGATTCGTATCGACGGCCAAGGACGACACGTTGACTTCCTGATATGCTGAACCAATCGTACCAGTGAGGACGACACGTGGGTGCCCTCGGACCAGATACAGTCTCCCTTGATACGTGCGAATTATTTAACCCGCAAGCACGTGACTGATATAGATCACCTTCGCTAAGGGGGGGGGTGGTGTAAGGAATTTTCTATTCCTTACCGAGCGGTACTGCAATCGCGTACGCTCGAACACACCCGAAGCCTCGGGGTGGTTCTGGACCTATCTGACAGAAACACCTCGGCTTCTCCAGACCTTCTGGTTCGACCTTCGGGAGTTCTCCGGGCCTCGCTTCGTCACTCGAGACCCTTCGATCTCCTTCCCAAACCTTTCCATCTCATGGTTAGACTAGCTCTGGTGTTCCTATATCTTGGCTTGCCATTGTTGTATCGTCATTCAGTGATTGAACACTTCGTTATTCATTTCCGCGCTGCTCTGCTTGTTCATTCATAACACTGCCGAGTGGCGAAACCAGCCAGCCAATGCACAGAACAAACTGGGTAACCCAGTTGGGTCCAGAGGGGGGGAAAAATAGGCAGAGGGGGGTTTCTGATTGGCCAAGCGACATCCCTGCGACGCAGCTAGCTCGCCCAGCAGAAAAGCTTCTCCCTGCCACCAAGATCCAAAGCTTCTTGGTGCTTATTCTGTACTCACTAGCCATGGCTCCTTCCCCGCCACTTATGCCCCCAAACACAGCGCCAATCGCCAATTTTATAGTGTGTGCTTGTAGTGCGGTTTATTAGAGGCGGAGCCCGCGTCCCCCTGACCTATGGCTTCACCCTGGTCCCCACATTCGCAACTCCGCTTTCCCGCTTCCCTGCTATCCCGCTTCCCAAACGCCTCTGCTTTCCCACGTTCCCGCGTCCTAGCTTCCCCGCTTTCCCGCGTTCCCGAGTCCCAGCTCCCCTGTTTCCCAGCTGCTTCACCGCGACCCCGCTTTCCCGCTTTCTAGATTCCACGCTTTCTCGGTCTGGAAGAGCATCTGCTGCCCGTTTCCGGCGCCGTCGCCCATCGCTGCCCACTTGTCGTTTCCCGCTGCTGCCACTGCGCGCTACACGCAGCCCGCGAAACGCTTTCCCCTCTCCTCACACGCACGTCCCACTCCCTGCTTCCCGCTGCGCTCATCCTTGCCTTTCCCCTAGCATATCCCTACCATGGTTTGATGTGTGTTTTTTTCCATGAGATGGCATGGTTGGGCACGGCGCGGCATGGCATGGCATGGCGCGGTGTGGCATGGTGTGGCATGGAATGGCACTGCACGTGGCATGGCATGGCATCAGATGCGCGTTGGGGTTCACACGGCAGTGGTGCGAGGCGGGCTCTCGTCATCCCCGGCTCAGACAAGGGGGGAAGGTGAGCTCAGACAGGGGGGGAAGGTGAGCTCAGACAGGGGGGGAAGGTGAGCTCAGACAGGGGGGGAAGGTGAGCTCAGACAGGGGGGGGAAGGTGAGCTCAGACAGGGGGGGAAGGTGAGCTCAGACAGGGGGGGGAAGGTGAGCTCAGACAGGGGGGGAAGGTGAGCTCAGACAGGGGGGGAAGGTGAGCTCAGACAGGGGGGGAAGGTGAGCTCAGACAGGGGGGGGAAGGTGAGCTCAGACAGGGGGGGGAAGGTGAGCTCAGACAGGGGGGGAAGGTGAGCTCAGACAGGGGGGGGAAGGTGAGCTCAGACAGGGGGGGGAAGGTGAGCTCAGACAGGGGGGAAGGTGAGCTCAGACATGGGGGGGAAGGTGAGCTCAGACAAGGGGGGAAGGTGAGCTCAGACATGGGGGGAAGGTGAGCTCAGACAGGGGGGGGAAGGTGAGCTCAGACAGGGGGGGAAGGTGAGCTCAGACAGGGGGGGAAGGTGAGCTCAGACAGGGGGGGAAGGTGAGCTCAGACAGGGGGGGGAAGGTGAGCTCAGACAGGGGGGGGGAAGGTGAGCTCAGACAGGGGGGGAAGGTGAGCTCAGACATGGGGGGGAAGGTGAGCTCAGACAAGGGGGGAAGGTGAGCTCAGACAGGGGGGGAAGGTGAGCTCAGACAGGGGGGGGAAGGTGAGCTCAGACAGGGGGGGGAAGGTGAGCTCAGACAGGGGGGGAAGGTGAGCTCAGACAGGGGGGAAGGTGAGCTCAGACAGGGGGGGGGAAGGTGAGCTCAGACAGGGGGGGAAGGTGAGCTCAGACAGGGGGGGAAGGTGAGCTCAGACAGGGGGGGGAAGGTGAGCTCAGACAGGGGGGGGGAAGGTGAGCTCAGACAGGGGGGGAAGGTGAGCTCAGACATGGGGGGGGAAGGTGAGCTCAGACAAGGGGGGAAGGTGAGCTCAGACAGGGGGGAAGGTGAGCTCAGACAGGGGGGGGAAGGTGAGCTCAGACAGGGGGGGGAAGGTGAGCTCAGACAGGGGGGGAAGGTGAGCTCAGACAAGGGGGGAAGGTGAGCTCAGACAAGGGGGGAAGGTGAGCTCAGACAGGGGGGGAAGGTGAGCTCAGACAGGGGGGAAGGTGAGCTCAGACAGGGGGGGAAGGTGAGCTCAGACAGGGGGGAAGGTGAGCTCAGACAGGGGGGGAAGGTGAGCTCAGACAGGGGGGGAAGGTGAGCTCAGACAGGGGGGGAAGGTGAGCTCAGACAGGGGGGGGAAGGTGAGCTCAGACAGGGGGGGGAAGGTGAGCTCAGACAGGGGGGGGAAGGTGAGCTCAGACAGGGGGGAAGGTGAGCTCAGACAGGGGGGGGAAGGTGAGCTCAGACAGGGGGGGAAGGTGAGCTCAGACAAGGGGGGAAGGTGAGCTCAGACATGGGGGAAGGTGAGCTCAGACAGGGGGGAAGGTGAGCTCAAACAGGGGGGGAAGGTGAGCTGAGCTCAGACATGGGGGGAAGGTGAGCTCAGACAGGGGGGAAGGTGAGCTCAGACAGGGGGGGAAGGTGAGCTCAGACAGGGGGGGAAGGTGAGCTCAGACAGGGGGGGAAGGTGAGCTCAGACAAGGGGGGAAGGTGAGCTCAGACATGGGGGGGAAGGTGAGCTCAGACAGGGGGGAAGGTGAGCTCAGACAGGGGGGGAAGGTGAGCTCAGACAGGGGGGGAAGGTGAGCTCAGACAAGGGGGGAAGGTGAGCTCAGACATGGGGGGAAGGTGAGCTCAGACAGGGGGGGAAGGTGAGCTCAAACAAGGGGGGGAAGGTGAGCTGAGCTCAGACATGGGGGGGAAGGTGAGCTCAGACAGGGGGGGAAGGTGAGCTCAGACAGGGGGGGAAGGTGAGCTCAGACAGGGGGGAAGGTGAGCTCAGACAGGGGGGGAAGGTGAGCTCAGACAGGGGGGAAGGTGAGCTCAGACAACGGGGGGAGGTGAGCTCTGGTTGGGGGGGGAAGTCCCGCTCTATTCCCATGCTCACTCCCCCTCAATCATGCTTACTCCCCCCTCCCATGCTCCTATCCTCGCAATTATCCTGCCTGTACCCCGCTCCAAGCCCTTCGTTTTCCCAGCTGGTGGGGGCGGCTGGCTTTCGCGCAGGAGAAGGGCACTGTAAGGAGGGAACAAGGGCACGGAAGGGGGGATGAGAGGGTACTGGGGTAGAGGAAGGAGGGCTCAGCAGGGAGCGCACGCCTCACTCACTCTCCACGGCCCCACCCCGACTCATCTGCCCTCCCACTCCATTGCAGCGTCCCCATGCCTTCCCTCCCCAAGCCCCGGCCCCCATGTCGCCTGCTCTTTTCCTGTCCTCCATGCTTTCCCCCCAACCCATGCTCCACCCCCCACTACCCCTCCCCCCTCACCCATTCTGTCCCTGATTCCCGCTTCCCGCTTCCCGCTTCCTGCTCAGAGGGCTTTTGTCTCGCTGGAAAGAAGAGAGGGGGCGGGGGGGGGGGGGGGGGGGGGCTTAGAAGGGCTCTGGAGGGGGGAGAGGGAGGGCTATGTGTGGAGGGGGAGGAGGACATCGGAGGGGAAGGGTTAACTCTGGAGTGGGGAAGGGGAGGAGGAGGGCTCTGGAGTGGGGGAGGGGAGGAGGAGGGCTCTGGAGGGGGGGATGGAAGGGAAGTGTTTGGGGGGGGGGGGAGTCTGGCTCTGGAAGGGGGATCACCCATGCTCTCACCCCCTAGCTCGTGCTCTCCCCCAATCACCCTTGCTTTCCCCCTCTGCCCCATGCCCTCCCCTCCACCCCCTCTCTCTCCCCCGTCTGCCCTTCTCACTCTTGAGTTCTTCTTTGCATACGTCCAACCCCCCCTCCTGCTTTTCTCCTACCCCCTACTTCCAGCACACCCCTTACTTCCATCCCGCCACAGTAGCTGGGTTTTTGGGATAATGAGATATGGTTGTAGGGAGTGCTAGAGTGTGAATAGATCACCGTTGCTCGGTTAGAAAAAGTGCTCTAGCTGCATGGCTGTCCATAACATGAGTTCGCGTTCAAAATTTAACTACCGTAATCCCCCGTATATAACACCCTATGGTGTATATAAAAATTCACTAAAAAAATGACTGGGTGTTAACAGTGGCCCGGAAAAATATAGTGCCCATGTGTTATGTAAAATGCAATTTGAATTTGAGTGTTTTAGGCCATGTGTGTTCAAAACTGCGCGGAGCGACTGTTAGCGAGGTACAGCATCCGCTATGACGAAACTCACAAACCAATCGTCGTTGGCCAATCCCTGCTGAGTGCTATAGTCAGGGCTAGGTTTGTGCGGCACCTGCGACCGTCATGATCGCGACAGAATCCGCGACTTCGACGGGAGGATTTCGCTCGGGAGGATTCTGACCGTCAAATCACAACAGAATCCGCGAATTCGACGGTCGAAATCCTCCCGAGTCTTGACCTTTGCTGACATTTCCATTTCGCGCTGCAACTTGTGTTGATGTTTCTGCCCGTTTTTTCGCTGCTAATGGTAGTTGACATTGCGTTTTTCATCCTGTTCGTTTTTTTTTTTCAATCGAGCTGAGCTTGAAAAACTACGAAATACTGTTCTTTGCTGCATAAAACGAGGAGGGTGTTATGTAAAATGCAACCCCCGAAAAGCGGGTGCTCTCCTAAATTCACCCTATCATAAGCTCTCCCCCGCATAAACCACCCGCGGAGTGTTTATTTCGGCGGGTGTTATATACGGGGGATTACGGACTCATGACATGTAATGTACTTCCTTCTCTCATGACACTGTAAGGGCTTTTCATAATACTTTGACCGTTACAAACAGTTACCATATCGGGGCATTTGTTATGAGCGGGAATGGAACAATCGACTGAGTAATCGAAATACAACCTAGGAATAATGATCGATCAGCAAGTGACGAGTGAACTGGCTAAAATAGGGCTCGTACGTGCTAGGGCGAGAACCTCGGGACGTGAGATGGCTTGGAAGGGTGGCGAGGGTGTCGGGACGCGACTCGGGAAGGTTTGGGCCGACAATATAGGCCGAACCTGCGAGGTCGACGTCTTCGGGTGTACGCGCTGTAATTTAGCGCAGTAAGGAATTGTAATTCCTTACACTCTCCCACCTTCTAAAGAAACCCTCCGTACACTAGAGGCGATACCCTGATGGATTAATAATCCAATCGCGAGTGTGACTCTATGTCTTGAAGTCTTGTGACGAGCGTAGTGATTACGTCGTCCTAACGAATCTTCGGCGAGCCAAATCCGATGGCTGAAATTGGTCCAGAGATATCTTGACCGTTGGGCGATTATCACGAGTCAGCAATGTCGGTGGCAGTGCCTATTTTTCACGAGTAAATTACTCTGATTCTCTGATTTTCAGAGTTGGTTTTGTGTACCACCCTTACGCCTCTGGGTAAGCCAGGGTTTTCTTTTGTCCCACCCTGAGGGGTTTACTATAAGGGGGATACCCCCAGATTTTCTTGTACCCCTCTGTCCATACATGCCCCTTGTTCACACGGACCGCTGAGCTGGCCCACGTCATATACCCCCGGATTTTCGTGTACCCCCCTGTCTACATATGTGGCCTCATATCCCCGCCGTATTCACGCGGACCGCCCAGCTGGCCCACATCACATGATGCCTGTCTCGCTCTTGCTGGCAGATTCCATGATCCCTATTGGCATGTTTTCCTCGCGCCTCCCTTTTTCCAAGCCCTCTCTAGCCCCACTCCCCCACGTTAGCCTCACTCACAGCATTCGCGTATCTTCGTTCCTCCCCTTCGTCGTTTTTTCAGCAAACGCCCTCTCTCATAATCAGGGTCCGCCATGCCTAGCGCGGTTGACCCCGATGACGGCGTCAGTGGTGGGAAGAATCAAAGCCCCTGGCGCTCGCTAAGTGCCATGCCCTAACAACCCTGCTAGCATACTAGCAGAACATACCACACCACATCACATGCTACGAGTAGCCGCTATTTCCGCCTCTGGTTGTCTACCATGCCTGAGGGAGCCTATGTGAATCGCGAGGAGGAAAGGATGGTGGGGCAGGAGTCAGACGGTAAGGAGGCTCGGCTTCTGGAGCACATCGCCCAAACAGTCCCCGCGAACGACCCGCAAGCAGTGATTAGCGCCATCGATTCCTACGCGTGGTCCAGCCCGGAGTTTTTCATGAACGTCGGCGACGTGAAAGGTGCAATTTTAGACGACGCCGTCCGTCGCGCGAATCCCCTCAGCGCACTCGAGCTCGGCGCGTTCTGCGGGTACTCGGCGGTTCGAATCGCTTCGCGCTTTTCGAAGCCGGGAGCTCGGTTGGTGTCTGTGGAGCTGAGCGACCTCCGTTCGTCCGTCGTCCGCAGCGTCGTCGCTCACGCAGGCCTCAGCGACAAAGTTACTGTCGTTACAGGCACGCTGCAGACTTCAACAGATGAAATTCGGCAAGGTGCGAGCAAGGTTCCATTCGATCTAGTCTTCATCGATCACGTGAAGCACCTCTACCTACCAGACCTCTTTTTTCTCAGAGACCAGAAGCTCATCGGACTAGGAACTATCATTGTGGCTGATAACATTGTCTATCCGGGGTCTCCTGATTATCTCGAATTCATGGAGAAGAGCTCGGAGTTTGTGACTGAAAAGAGGGAGACTACCGCTACTACGCCAATTCTGTTGGCTGCTGCCATGCATGGGACGATCGCCGCTGCTACTGCTGTGCATAGTGGGATCGTAGCTGCTGTTGCTAAGTGACGGAATTTCCGATTAAACTGCTGGTGTTAGTTGCGAGTGCTGCGATTTTCAGAGATTGCCGTCACTGCTAACGCAACTAGTGATACGGTTGTTGCTCACGTTGCTTATGTGTGTGTGACAGGATCGCCACCACCGCTGTTGCTGCTGTGGGTAAGGAGTTCCTGCTGCTTGCTGCAGCGGCAGCGCAGGGTGAGATTGCATCAGTTACTACTACAGGTGACAAGTTTCTGCAGCTGCCGCAGTTACGAATGTCAATTTTTTTAGCTGCCTGAAGCTAGTAGTGTGTATGGCATGATGCTGATGATGCTGATGAGTGAATGAAGGAATATAATGCTATATTTTATTGCAAGAGCATCTGCCCCCCTAGATCCACGGTCTCTAATAACACACACTATTAAGAGGTTGAAATTAAGGCACCCTGACTTGTCAGAGTAAAAAACTCCAAAACATAGGGTTACCCTGATGGCTCTGGGTAAATGTGGAGGACCACTCTGGTTTTCAGAGTAGTGGGGAAAGTAACTTCAAGATTTCAGAGTAGTGAAAATCCAAAGATCAGCACTGGTCGGTGGCGGAACTGTCGAGGTCGATCTGATGGATATCTCCAGACCGAACGGCTGACGATGACTTTAATTTGGTAGGATAATGCCGGATGGCAGAGACTGTAGAACATGGTATTCCCGCAGGCTTGTCATCATAACGCTTGTCTTGAGATGTCGAAAGCAATCGTGGCCGTAAATCTTGAGAAATGATCGGATGGCCGGAAGTTGTCGAAACGATCGCAATCGATCTTGGCCGTTGAATGTTGGTCGATTATTCGGCTGACCGAATTGGGCAATGGTGAAAACTCTTGCGGGCGAATGAACAGTTACATTGTAGGCTGTCGGTTGGTGATGACGAAATGGCAAAGGACGAATGCAGCGCGGCTGCACTTCTCCCCTCCCCTTCAAGAAGAAGCAACGTCCAGAAATAAGGTAAACCTCCACGTATATCACGGATCCAAGGTAGTCGTAAAATCCAAGGTAGTCGTATATCACCGACCAGGCTTGGGATGTACTGGTGCGCTCTATCTAGCGTAATCCTGCTGTAATCCCTTAAAGCTAATAGCCTCGCGTGGCTATACGCAGGGTGATTCTATCTTCTAGAAGGGTCTATTCCCTTAGGATAAGATAAACCTGGTTACCTGATGTACTATGGAAGTATAAAAGCGCCTTGTACTGATCGATAGTGCAATCTTTCATCGAGTCATTCGATCCTGTAACACTTGGTATCAGAGCCTTTCTCATTCGGCCGCGCTCAACAAAGCAGCAGCAGCGGGAAAACCTGCCTCGAAAAACCGTCGGGGGCGACTAATTCGACGCCGATTCTGGTAAGCACCAGCTCCGCGATTTTCAAATTACCCCCTGCGTGCGTGCTTTGAACAGGATGGCGACCTTCGACAACACCGAGGTTACCCAGCAGCTCTTCGTGCGCATCGCAGCCCTACAGGAGGAAATGCGAGCAGATCGCGAAGCGTGGCGAAACGAGTTCGAGCGAGTAACTCGACTCGCCGGAGCGCAGCACGAAACGACAACGGCGACGACGCAGCAGTCGCAGCAGTTTCTCGAGGCTCCGAAACCGCGCCCACCTGAGCCGTTCGATCCGAGCGATCGAAACTCCGACGCCCGCAGATGGATCGCCGAGATGGAGATCTACTTCGCAGCCGCCGGATGGAACTCGCCAGTCTGGGACGGTCAACGTGTACGACTCGCGGCGACACTGATGCGAGGGCCGGCACTCGAGTGGATTGACGGCAACAGTACCTTCATCCACGGTGAAGCCACGTGGCAGCAGTTCCGCGCCGACCTGCTGAAACGTTTCGATCCAATAAATTCGAGTTTCCTCGCGCGGGAAAAAATTCCTCGACACCGACAGTTCGGGAGTGTAGCGCAGTACACGCAACAGATGAAGGAATTTTATAACCGCATTCCCGACCGAACCGAAGGGGAAAAAGTACAATCGTACCTCGCCGGGCTGAAGACCGAAGTCAAACGACAAGTCGCAGCGTCAAACTACGCGATCTACAGTGGCGTCGTTTCGGCAGCGGGGCGCTTCGACATGGTCAACGCCGGAACACGACGGACGCACGTCGGCAGTACGCGACAGGGCGACCGCTTGGCTCACCCCACGTTCGCCGACCCGATGGAAGTCGACAGATTCGAGGGGCGGCCACGTCCAAAAAACACCAACTACACGTGTGATTTTTGCGGGGTGCCGGGTCATCGAATCTTCGACAGCAACAAAATGAAAGCCGCACGCGCAGAGTATCGGACACGCAATAGTGGCGGAAATTGTGAGAGTACGACCCCGTCACACCACTTGGCATTTTCTTATTTCCTTCCCTTTTCATTTCTCTTTTATTCCATCTCATTTGGTTTCCTATTCTTCCTTTTCCATTAACCTTTGGTTTATCCTGCTATTATAATTATATCACCGACCAGGCTTGGGATGTACTGGTGCGCTCTATCTAGCGTAATCCTGCTGTAATCCCTTAAAGCCAATAGCCTTGCGTGGCTATACGCAGGGTGATTCTATCTTCTAGAAGGGTCTATTCCCGTAGGATAAGATAAACCTGGTTACTTGATGTACTCTGGAAGTATAAAAGCGCCTTGTACTGATCAATAGTGCAATCTTTCCTCGACACATTCGATCTTGTGACAGAAATCCTTTGGCCAATCAGAAGACAAAAAACGGGAGTCGCCAGTAATTGCGGATCTAGCTGGCGAAAATAAAAAGGTCCGAAAGCGGCCGAGGGATTCCGGAAAAATCAACTTCGATGAAGCTGATTCGACGCGAGAAGAAGGAAATGATGGGGGAAAATCTCCACCCTACGACCAGTCTTCGCTAGGGAAAATCGCCGAGGAAAAATACGACTCCGCGAAAAAAGACTCTGCCGAGACGGGGAAACTCCCTGAAGACCCAGGAAATTATAAGGATTTGTTAAAGCTATCATATAAAGATGCTTTAATGAAAACTTGTAATTCTCAAGGGGCTAGAGCCTTGGAGAAAATGTGGGAGGGACTCCAAAAGAAGCAGACAGCTGTGGAGATTATACCGGTACCGGACAACTTGGGGAAAAAATTGAGGAGTGGAAAGAAGCCAACCTTTCCACGGAGTCAACGTCCTCTCCCGACACCAGCCCACAACGACTACCCGATCCCCAGGGAAGACGTCGGTGGAGCTGAAGCAGCTCAAGAGGAAGCTGGCGGTCTATAAGAAGCTGCACAAACCCCGAACTCCTACTCCGGATGCATCCAGTTCTTCGGCATCAACGACGCGCACAGTCGTCAAGGAAACTCCGGGCCCTGGAGAAGAGCCGTTCTCCAAGCAGCCTCGGCCAGCTGCCAGCTCAGGAGTAGATAGAAACACAAAGGTGTGTACGGAATGTTGGGATGTACCCTATGACCCAATCAATGAAACTATCTTTGGATACTCCGAGCAACGCCTGCCCCTCGTGCTCGAGGTCATCTGTAAAGGACGACGCCTCCAAGCACTCGTGGACAGCGGAGCATCACACACCGTCTGCAACAAGGAAGTAATCGACCTACTTCGGGAAGAGTACAAGCCTTCAGGGTTCTCTGCAACGATGGTGGACGGAAGCAAGTTACCAGTACACGGCAAAGCAGTGCTACCCCTACAAATTGGACCACTTCGCTGGAGACCTGCACTCCCCATCACCAACATCAAAGGGCTTGACTTGATCTTCGGGCGAGACTTCCTAAAAAGATTCAACCCCGAGATCAACTGGGTGAACCGCACCGCAAGCATCTACAACAATGGACGGAGAGTACAACTACCCAACTGGGACGATACAGGAGATATCCCAGTGGAGACACTCGCCAGATTCGAGAAGGACGTGAAGCGAACCGACACCGGGTTCCTGGCGATAGCAACAGAGGTGGAGAACGACGGAGAGAAGACCTCGGAATCTCCAGGAAAGATCAAGGAAATATTGAAGGAGTTCCAAGACATTCTTCCGGACGATCTTCCGAACGAGCTACCGCCATACCGAATGCATCAACACGAGATCGTAGAGGAACCGGGTTCGAAGCCGACCTTCCGAGCACCATATCGGCTTAGCCCTACGGAGCTGACCGACATGAAAAAACAGATCGAGTATCTCCTAGCCAAAGGACTCATCCGACCATCCACTTCTCCATACGGTGCCCCAATACTCTTCACACCGAAACCGGACGGAAGCCTGCGCATGTGCATCGACTACCGAGCTCTTAACAAGCAGACCATGAAGAATAAATATCCGATACCGCGAATCGATGACCTGCTTGACTAGCTTCGGGGAGCTACGGTATTTTCCAAACTAGATCTGTGGTCCGGATACTGGCAGATTCGGATGGCGGACAACTCTATCCACAAAACTGCTTTTCGAACTCGGTACCAATCGTACGAGTATTTGGTAATGCCGTTCGGACTCACCAACGCGCCGGCAACGTTCCAAGCCGAAATGAACCACATTCTACGACCACTTCTGGACGAATGCGTGGTGGTGTACCTGGACGACATACTCATCTACCCGCGTGACATGAAGCAGCACGTCGAACACCTGCGACGCGTCTTCAAAATTCTTCGACGAGAACGGTTCTACGTCAAACTATCCAAGAGCGAATTCGCCATTGAAAAGGTCCAGTTCCTAGGACACATGGTGAGCGCTCAAGGAATTCACGTCGACCCCAAGAAAATCGAAACCGTACGTACGTGGAAGACACCCGAGAATGTGAAGGAGTTGCAGCAGTTCCTAGGCTTCACGAATTATTACAACAGGTTCGTGCCACAGTATGCAAAACTAGCAGCATCATTCACGTATCTGCTGAAGAAGAATACGCCCTACAAATGGGAATCAAAACACCAGGAAGATGTGGAGCAGCTGAAACAAGCACTCACGACCGCCCCGGTACTCATCTTGCTAGATCCCGAACGAGACTACGTAATCGAAGCTGACGCCAGCGACCAGGCAGTAGGAGCAGTCTTGATGCAAGACTAGGGGAACGGACTACAACCAATCGCCTACCGCAGCAAGAAGCTTCACGGGGCAGTTGTCAACTTCCCGATACACGACAAAGACACCCTTGCCATCGTTATCGCCTTCAAAGCGTGGAGATGTTATCTCGAAGGACGAAGAACAACCGTCTACACCGACCATTGCAGCCTGAAATACTTGAAGACACAACCCAACCTTTCCAGGCGGCAAGTCCGGTGGATCGACTTCCTCGAGACACACTTCCACTACGACATCGTGTACAAGCCCGGCCACAAAAACAAAGCAGATGCTCTCAGCCGACCTGCACACGTTGCCGCTATTCAGATCGAAGGGATGAATCCACTCCTCAAGGGACTCTTCACACACGGGTACGCCATCGACCCCGAAATTCCCT